CTTAACTCCAAACACTATTCACCATTTGGAAAAATATGTATCCGTTTTCTTAAATTCAAATCTTGGTAGATGTAGAAGAAAAATACGTGTACTTTTAGTATGATTCTGAGATTTAATCAATGATTAATAAAAGGAAATCAATAAACAATATGAATTAGGTAAGAAATTAAAACAATAAACAAAGAAAATATAATGAAGCAACCTCTTCTCTTTCCAAACCTACGCCTTAAGTCAAATGTGGATTGTGCAAACAATAAAGGTAAAATGTGTAATTTATCACACTCCTAGTTAATTAAATACTCAAATAAACAAAACAAAAAAAAGGGATGGCTATATGCTTTATTATTTGTCACAATGTAGCTGGAAGGCTAATTGTCACATTCCAGCTATAATTGTCCCATAGTTGACTTGAAACTATAGCCAGAAAAACGACAAATAACAAAAACCACTTCTAGCAAAATAAACACACCGATAATTTTGACATTCAGTTTTCAAATCCAAATAAAGCACATTATTACAAGACCAAATTACAAATGAAAATAAAGCCGAGCGAGTAAATGAATATAAATAAGAGCGTTTAAAATCGTCCGTTTAATGGTTTTGGTTCTTTGGCCAGATTCCAATTTCGGTGTAACCATCTTCAGTGGCACAAGCTCTGAACATTCCATTAGTGTTAAACGGCATTGTTACTTCCCCATTGGCCGAGACTGCAATGAATCCACAACTTCCTTTCGGTACGGATTGGTCAATGACATAAGCCGCTGCCTCCGTCAGAGACAAGCCTTTATACTCCATGAGCGCAGCCACGTCTCTAGCCACGGTTCCACGGATTATATCTTCTCCTTGACCTGTGGCTGAGACAGCACATAGGTGGTTAGCGTATGTTCCTGCGCCAATGATTGGTGAATCTCCTATTCTGCCAGCCATTTTGTTGACATAACCGCCAGTTGATGTAGCTGAAGCTAGATTTCCAGCACTGTCCACGGCTACACATCCAACCGTTCCTGTTTGGCTCTCGCCATGATATCCTTGTGCTTTCGGACCAGGGCTTGTATAATCCAACTGTATATGAGAAATTCAAAGAATCATTAGAAATGCATGAAATAGGATATTTTCGATAAAATAAAACAACCATAATATTATTTCATGAACATAAACATCTAAAAAGCCCTTGAGGATCCAAATAAACATGGACCAATTGCATAAATGCCATTTTTGGTGTATACATTTGCAAGAATGTCATTTAGGGGTATCCATTTGCAAAAATACCACT